GGAGCCGCTGCAGCCAGTGCAGACAGTGCTGTTGCGCTTGCAACGCAGCGCACTGCACACGCATAGCTACGCCGTCAGGTTGAGCAAAGCATTGGCGCCAACAAGCCATAAAACGTTTGCGCAGGTCCTTGTAGGATAGCATAGTATCGTCGTAGGTCTGACGCAACTCGTCGGCACTAAAGGCGGGTGCGCTGTGGTACCAGCCGAGGAATACCAAGACACGTTCCGCGACGAGGAGGGACAAGGTCGTTACGACGACACCCAAGACGATAAGGAATGTGCGCATATTCGATTCCATATCCAACTTGCGCCCCATAGTCGGTCTAGGTAAGTGGCATGTACGTACTCGGTGAGATACACGGGAACGGGGCGGCGTAGGAGCGCCAGTGGTTCGCCCATGTTCCAGTGCTGGAGCGCCGACTGCATGTCCCGCAAAGCCGGCGCCGCCTCCGCCGAGCCCAGCGTCCGTGCTAGCTCATCGAGGTGGGGATGCAGACGCATAACGCCCATGGCATAGCGGAAGCCACTGGCGGGGGCGGGCAGCGAGCCGTCCATGGAGCAAGGTCTGGAGCGGCCAGGCGTGGCGAGCCACAGCCAAGCCGGGCCAATCAGGGTCGGCCACTCCACCCGCCTACGAAACGCTACCTGAAGGAGCCGTTCATGATCTTTTGTAGATTCTCGGGCGACAAATCCACACCGGCTTTTTTCATTTCTTGGACGACTAGCGTGAGAGAGATGGCGTACCTTTGGCGGTGCACTCGCGCACCTCTGCATTTGTAGCAAGCTTGGCCATTTGCATCATGCTGGGTTTTGTGCCGCTCGATAGATCGAGACCGTGCTTCTCGAGCACCTCGATGAGGTGATTCACCGCAGCAAGAGCCTCTGGCGACTCGCCCAGCTTTTCAAAGCCGGGCGGCAGGGTCTGCTCCCAGCTGGAACGCGGGTCCTCAGAGGCCCACTGCACCGCACTCGTACGTAGAGTACGCAGAGTATAAGTGGGAAGTAGAAAGGTGCGTGCGCGAGGGTACAAGGTGGCTGCGCGCGCGCTCAGGCGCAGGGCCATGGTGCCAAGGGCCATGGGCATCATAGCGAGACGAAAGGCGTCGTCCCACCTCCACATCGCCACCGGTGGCGCGGCTCTCGATGAAAGCACAGGCGCAGCACTGGCGCCCACGCACGCATGTGTGCCTGGCGCTTGTGGTCCTGCTTTCATTTGCACTGATTCTATGGCAAAGATCGTCTCCTGAGCCGGCGCCTGCCATTCGCACCGTCGTACGACCGGTGCGGCGACTCCAAGACGTGCGAGGCTATTTGGCGCGGCGCATGGCGGCGCCGCCACACACTGTCATGGACCTTGCGCGCCTCGAGAGGTGGGAGGATATTGAGCAGATGTGGCCTGACGTCACAGATCGCCACACGCTGCGCTTGCTAGCGCGCTTTTCGTGCTGGGCGTACTACGAAAAGGTGCCCGACCACCTACCCGATGCGCCGGGCTGGTCTTGGTCCAGCAAGTTTGGCTGGGACGAAGGCGGCCTGCGTGGACAGGTGTTTGCGATGGAGCAAAATGCCACCGTGGTGGTGGCCCTAAAAGGCACAAGTGCCAGCTTTCTGCCGGGCGGCAGCACCGGGCAGCGCGATAAGGACAACGACAATCTGCTATTCAGTTGCTGCTGCGCACGCGTTGACAGCTCTTGGAAGCCGATCTGCGACTGCTGGAAGAGCCCATCCACGTGCGATTCGCATTGCATGGGCCGTACATTGATTGAGCGCTCCTTGTACTACCCTGCCGCCACGGACTTGTACAACAATATCTCGTACTTGTACCCCAACAGTCAGGTGTGGGTAACAGGTCACAGCCTCGGTGGTGTCATGGCCAGCTTTCTGGGTGCCACGTTTGGGGTCCCAGCGATCGCGTTCGAGTCGCCAGGCGACCGCGTCGCCGCATCGCGACTGCACTTGCCGCTACCGCCTCCCAGCACGCCCGATGAGGATGCGTACGCGCTAGTACCTGTCACACACGTTTACCATACGGCTGATGCTCTCGCAACAGGCCAATGTGTGGGGCGGAACTCGATTTGCAGCCGCACAGGCTTTGCTATGGAGACACGCTGCCATATTGGCCAGAGCATTGTATACGACACGGTGCGGTACCTGGGCTGGTCGGTCGGTGTGTTGCCCCACCGCATCACTGTGCTTATCTCGGATCTGCTCGCTCACGATTGGGAGCCACGTATCCAGACCCGTGCTCGATGGAGCTGGCCGATCCTACCAAAACCGGGGCGTGCAGTGCCTCTGCCGCAGCGCGAGACATTGTGCCAAGGTATGTGCCGCTTACTCACGACAGACTGCTCCGCATGGACATTCACGTAGCTACTTAGTGCTCCAGCGTCGCCTTGTACGACTCCTCGGAGAGGAGCTCCTCCAGCTCGGCAGGGGTCGTCACCTTGATCTTGGCGAGCCAGCCTGGCGTCAGTGGAATATACGTACCCTCGTCCATGGGGCTGTTGTTAACGAGCGACATTTCATCGTTCAGCTTCGTGTTCACCTCGCTGATAATGCCGCTCACCGGCGTGTAGATGTCCGAGGCGGCCTTGACCGACTCGATCGCACCAATTTGGTCGCCCTTGGACACCTCGAGCTGCAGCTCAGGAAGCTCTAGGTACACAACCTCACCCAGGCTGTTCTGGGCATGGTCCGTAATGCCCAGCACACCCTCGTTGGTTTCATCGTCGTAGCGAATCCACTCGTGCTCAGGCGTGTAGAACGTCTTGACAGCGGCAGCCAGGCGGGAAGTTTGGAAGTTGCGCACAGGCGCCGCACGCAGCGGAGCGCGCGCTGCCGAACGCAGCGTCGAGAGGCAGGCAACACGCAGTGGAGTAGCAATCATTCTGGGACGAGGGGGACTGTCGCTGCCGAGCCGGGCACAACCGACTACCTTCGGCCGAACTCCGATACCCCCCCAGCACGGTCCAGGCCAGGACGCCATGCCATGGTGCGGGGGCCGAGTGACGAGGCATACTTTGTGGGCGCCCCTCTAAACCGCGCGTCGTGGCTGCGTGGATCAAATGATTTTCTCAATGCGGCAGTCACAAGTCCCGATGCGCGATTTGTCCTGCTGAGCTGCGGCTGTCCTCTTGTGCACGTTACGGACGAGCGGCGCAAGTCGCTCGTATTCACATCGTGGGCTGATATTAAAGAGGCCGTTCTCGCCAGAGCGCGTCCCGTACATCCTGAAAAGCTATTTGGGCCTGAAGCGTACGGGATCTTGCCCAAGGGTCCCGAGGACCGCGCATTTGCTGCCTTTACGGGCGGCCTCCTCTCACCAGATCTGCTGCTCGTATTTCTGGGAATCGACACGCAGCATGCTGTGACAGTGTCTAAAAAAACACCTCAAGGCACGCCCTATTTTGCCCTCTCAGTTTCATACAAGCCTACGACCCCCGACGGAGCTCTGCTTTCGCAGCTGACACAGTCGTACGACGTGCTTGATATGCGCCTGGCAGTCGCGATCGGCGCACTGAGTCCACATGACGCATCGTATGTGGGAATGGCACGTTCAGTGATTGATTGGAATGAGCGCTACCAACACTGTCCCGCGTGTGGCGCGTTACAGTGCTCCGTTGCTGCGGGGTACAAACGAGTGTGTCTCCGCGCGCTGCAGGACTGCGCAGAATGCCCTGCCTTTTTCGAGAGATTCCAACTACCTCGTTATTCGGGAACTTGCATTTCGGGTCGTACGCTACAGAATTACGCGTATCCCCGCACGGATCCTGTGGTCATTGTCGGCATCGTCAGTGCGGATGGACAGCGGATTCTCCTGGGCCGTAAACGAGGCTGGCCTGCTGGGTATTATTCTTGTATTGCGTACGTTTACCTATCTTACATGCAGCGGCTTTGTCGAGCAGGGAGAATCGTTCGAGGAAGCCGCACGGCGCGAAGCGTGGGAAGAGACTGGTCTCGAAGTCGGTGATGTACACTATCAATGGTGCGTGGTATGTACTGACACCTTCAGTTCACAGCCATGGCCGTTCCCAGCCCAGCTTATGGTGGGCCTGCTGGCCTATGCCACATCACCCGATACGGACCTGCAGCTGGACTTGGATGCCGAGCTCGAAGAGGCCTTTTTTGCTACAAAAGCCGAAATACAGCAGATCCTAAGATATGTGCGCAGGGAAGGAAAACCGCTCTATAGACATGGTCATGAGCTTGTGTACGTGTGGATGACTGACACTAGCGTACCGGGACGTCGAGCCATGGCCCATGTCTTGCTGTCACGATGGGCCCCACCTTCGAGTGGAGGCCGTCCCCATTTGTAGTCGGCCGTGTTTTGTAATCATCCGCGTTCGCCCTTCGCTCTTCGTCGGACCATGTTCACCTCGGTGGTGCGTGCCTCACGCTCGGCATGGAAGGGTATGTATGCGGTGCAAAGGGGTCAAAATGTGAGAGTCTATTCGCAGCTGACTTGGCACCCATATGGGGCAGAACTAACAGGCAGGTCCTTTTTTCGTGCCCTTTCCAAATCTGCAACAGGCCTTGAAGAACAACACGCCCATTCGTACAAATGCGCGAAGCTGTACCATTCTTCCAAACTTTGTGGGGTAGGTAGAGTGATGGCTCACAAACAGTCTCAAGTTCCTCGTACACAACGGCAAATATCATCTTCCTGTGACAATTACGGAAGAGATGGTGGGCCATAAGCTTGGCGAGTTTGCCGTCACGCGAAAGAAATTCAGCTACCGGTACGTGGTCCAGCAAAACCCAACTAACGACTCAGTCTTACGAAGAACAAGTAAGCGGCCGATACCTGCTTCTATACCGCCTCACTTTGGTAGCCTCTTGACTTGTTCTTTTACCTCACAGGGGTTCTTCTTTGTTCTATATGGCCTACGCCGAGAGCCTGGCCATCGGCCTCGGCCTGGCGGGACATGCAAGGGGTCCAAAGGCGGTTTGCTTCTTCTTCACGTACATATTGACGTTTTCTTCAGAAAAGCGAAGGTTATGGCCTGATAGCTCAGAGGAACGAGTGGCGCTTTCCGGTGAACGGGTTCGTTCAGAATACTGGCTGGCGCAGGTCCCGGGTTCGACCCCCGGTCGGGTCTTTTTTTACATATTCAATGGCTATATATGGTCGGGTAAACGAAGGACAAGATAGCTTGGCAGGCGAGATCGTTAGCCTCTTCTTTGGAGCAGCGCTCAGATTCGAGTAAGATCATGTCCTTGACAGGGCCACCGTCTGGCGCATCGTCAGACTCGGGCTGGATGAGAGCACCATGTTCCACATCGCCTCGCTCGAACATCTTACCATGCGCTTCGACATACGCGGGCCAAACAATCTCGTCAAAGTAAAAGGGCGGATCTTCCCACACTTCTCCATCTTCCAAAACATAGTTTTTCCGCTCTATGCGGCGGCGCAGCATGGTAGCCCTAGAAACGCGCAAAAAGAGGCGCAAATCAAAGAGCCTGCGTAGAGCAGCATCATAGTAAATTAAAAAGCCCTCGACAATCAGCACCGCTACTTTCTTAGCAGGGGCATTTTTGTTCGTGTGCACGGGCTGCGCGTTGCCGCGGTCATGAAAGCGCTGACGCCACAGGGCGAGCTTGCTTGCCGGTAATGAGCAGTCGTAGTTGCCTCGACGATATTCCGTGCTCTGAAAATCCTTGGGAAGCTCTCGGTGTTCCTGGAAATAACACAGTGTACGCTCTAGACGACGGTAGTCGCACTGGGTCAGCTCTACCGGGAGCACGTACAGATCCGTGCGGCGTGTCCCAGTCCTGCACATGCCATGTTTCGTTCCATGGGATCTCGCTCTTGGGCGGCGTAAAGTCGTCCTGGTGAAGTACATGGACCGAGTCAATAGGGGAGTGGCCGTCGACGGGAGGTTGCAAGATCGCCAAGAGATTTTTTGCTAAAGACGTCTTGCCTGAGTTGGTGGGCCCTCTGACGGTATCAGACGCAACGCATATACATACCCCACGCCGAGCACCACCACGGCTATATCACTGTCCATTGCAGAAGGATCGTGGCGAGAGCGATGGAATTGGGTCGACCGTGGTCCACCGATCGTGAGGCTAATCGGGCCCGATAGCCCGAGACTATTTACTCCATCCGGGCCTTTTTGGCCTGGGGCTTCTCGTCGTCCGAGGGCACCACGTCATCGTCGTCCTCGTCACTGGAGTTCTCAGAGGGGCTACCCCCGTCATCCTCGGACTCTGCCTCAAAGTCTTCGTCTTCTAGTTTGTTAGTAGAATGGCTCGTACCTTCTTCATCCGAGTCGCTGTGGCTGCGCTTCACGTCGTCGCCCTCGTCGTCGTCATCGTCACCCAAGAGCGCGTCGACGGCAGCATTGACGCTCATACCATCATCGATAAGCTCGTTCTTGATGCGGATCTTGCGCTCAGAGAAGAAGCTGATGAGACTGTCGAGCTCCTCCCGATTGACAGACTGAAACGAGTGATCGGTGCCGTGGCGAAGCTCCACGCGGAGATCAAAGGTCTTGGCCGAGGCAATAGCACCACCCACGCGGCTAAACACAATCTGATGCACGTCCGCGTAGGGAATAAGCACGGGCTGCTTGGAGACCCAAATCATGCTCTTGTTGAGAGGGTATAGTGTGCCATCGTTGGCCTTGACATTGCAACGCACACTCTCCTGGCCTGTGCTGTTGGTGAAGCCTGTCGGAACATGGACTTTCTTCTGTGAGAGTACACGGAACAGGTTCGTGACGATGCGGAACGTGGGCTCCTCGTAGCGCTTCTTGAGCTTACCCTCGTACTTTGTCTGGATGGTCTCATCGTCCAAGTTCAGTTCTGCGTCCATCTCCTCCTCCCGTGGGAACTGCAGCACGAGGAAGGGGTAGCGCGTCTGCCCTTGTCGGATCGGTGGCTCCAGGGCCACAATGAACATGACGTGAATATCGTCGGGCTTGGGCAAGAGGAACAGCTGTGTGATGGAGCTGTACAAGATTTTGTAGTCGTACGTTTTTCCACGCAAACGTAGGAAAGAAGGGAATAAATCAATGTCGTAGCGACCACGAGGCGTAAGCACAAGCACTTCCTTGAGCACGAGAATGCCATCGCCCGCCACCTGACCAATATCCGCCTTGGCCTTGATGGCATTGTGGAAGGCAAGCGCCGCGCTTTCGTCTTCTTCCTCTTCCTCTTCCTCGTCCTTATCCTCTTCTTCTTCGTCTTCACCTTCCTTGTCCTCGCTCTTTACGGCTTCGCCTTCCTCGGCTTCGCCCTCGTCCTCTTCTTTCTCCACCTGGCCAGGGATGTACAGACGCATTTCCACCAGCTCGTCGGTGCGGTTCTTCTTTGGTCCATGGAAGGGAAGGCCACTCATCTTGGAAGAGGCACCCGTATTTTGCTCAGGCTCTTGCTCTTGTGGATTGAGGAATTCCATACTGACCTCCGTCCGACCAGCAATGTTGCTATTCGCAATATTGGCGAGGGGCACAGAGAACGCTAGTTTGTCACGCACCAGAAACTTCATGTCATAGTCGTCGACTTCAGCAGAGCCCCAATTCCAGCCTCGTGTCGACACCTCAATGGTTTCGAGGGGCTTGTCGTAACACTCGCGGAGCACCTGCTCCAGCTTCGCGTGGTCTTCGCGCTGAAAGTTTTCAAACATAGAGCGGCGCTCTGACTGTCCCTCAAACTTGAGGGTAATACGCAGTTGAAACTGCCGAGCCACACTGTCAAGTCAGCACCATCGAAACACGGCTGTACGCACCGCAACCATGCAAAGGATACCATCTGCTCAGCGGGAATCGTTACTGTGGCGCCATCCTCTATGGGCTTCCATCCCAAGCCCACGTTGGAGAAGCGGATCCGCCCCAGCACTTTGCCGCTCCCATGGTAAATGTTTTCAAACTGCGTCGTCGACATCCGGGATCTGCGCGGTCGCGAGGCAACCCCGCCACGCGTGCGAAACGCGCCCTCTAGGGTTTAGTCAGCGTCTGAGTCGTTTCCTATGGCAGGTAGAGTCGGGAGAACGCTAGGACAGGGGTGCGGCATGTGGGACATAGAGGCAGAAACGAGGCATCTCCATCCGCATCCATATGCTCGCCTTTTTTTCCGGAAGTAGATAGAGCCTCTCTGCAGTCATCGCAGAGCGCAAGGCACCGACATGGCCAATTGATTATAGTACGCTCCTCACAGCAGCATACGACGCAGAGACGAGAGCGCTCTCGATCGAGTGCATGGTCGGATAGGCTTTCAAGCTTATTGGATCGCTGCATCTGGAGTACACGCAGCAATTCCGCGTTGGTGTGCTGATCGCTGGCCGCTGGAGCTTGCAATTCCATCTGGGAGGCATGGGGTGCCCAGATCGGGTCTGTGCCCTTCTGTGACGCCTGGGCCATCTGCCGGTATGCATGTCGCGTCAGAGGTGGTGCATGGTCCGGTCGAACCATGTGCTTTAGCAAGACATCCTGGAACGCAGTCGCCCCTGTTTCTTGCAAATCCGAAGCCAGCGAGATCAGTTCAATGGGATCGAGATCCTCCAAGCTGGACCAGGCCTGAGGAGCATGTGCATGCCGCGCATAAGCGGCACGTATGAGCTGGCGGCGCCGAAATGCCTCATACATGGACTTCGCCTGTTCGCGCTCGGCCACTTTCTCGCGCTCCTCCTCCAAGGCACGGGCTAGACGCGCTTCGCGGCGTGCTTCGCCGTTTCGACCGTGCCAGAAAAGACGTACATAGCGGGGTATACGCCGGATGCTCTCGGGCATGGACGGCAGGTAGGGCGATACGTAGCCATAGACAATACCCAGTATATGCAAAAGCATGTAGTAGAGATCCATGGTCAACTTGCAGGCGGCTTGTACCTTGTCCGAACCATGCAATCCGGCGATGGAATCAATGTGCTCAGGAGGCTTGACACGCACATCGCGCACTTCGTTGGCATACCCATTCCAGCCGGACGATGCCAAGCGCTCAAGATTTTCCAGGCCATGCTCCAATGATGCATGACCATCGGACGACAATTCCACGTACGTGTGTAGCGGCATGGGAGGCGGGGGTAGTTCGCGACCCATGCCATGAAGTCGGGACATGTGCATGCACTCGGACGCAAGACGCAACAAGGCCAAGTAGAAATCATCCGAAAGTCGAGGCATAGCCGTCGAAGAAAGGCCTAGATGAAGAGGCCGGAGATGGCCCGTGCTCAAGTACTGAGTGAGCACGAGAAGGCCCAGCGTCGACAGGACGATGGAGATGATGGATACTTCGAAAAGGCGGAAGGTATGGTAGAAGGGTGGGTATTCCTTGCTCCAAAAAGATGTGAACAAGTAGTGAGAGAGGATCACTATGCTCAGGAAGGAGGAGAAGGTCAGGCGCGAGATGGGCGAGCGCGACCAGCAGCGCAGTATGTTGATGCCCAAAAGTTCGACGACACTCGTGAGTATTATCAGGTAGATATGGGCATTGGGTTTCATCGCTGACACATTGGAATGCGTGCAGAGCATGATACCAAAACCAACCAGGTTGAAAGAGAAAGGATCCTCTTGCTGCGACGTGTGTTGCAGGCAGCGCGCTGTCAAGGCAACACAATACGATACGCAAGCACTGAGGAAGGTCGACCATAGCAGCGCTTCATAGTCGGTCTTTTGTTGTAGGAGATGGGCAGGCACAAACCATCGCAGGCCAGGGAGCCACGTCTGTGCGGATGGCGTGGTAGTATCACGACACATGGCGACGAACAGTCCACAAAATGAGTGTAGAAGAAGCACGATGCCTGGCGTGCGGATGAATATGCGCTGTTGGGTAGACAGGCGCAAAGGCCGCATAGGCGTTGTGCATATATGGTGGATACGATGAGATAGGAATGCCTGGCCGTAAGATTCTGTTTACGCACCATCAAAGCAATTGCAACAGCATAGCGTGATCCCAGAAATTCAAAGGGCGCTAGAGGAAGTGGCATGTTCCATTGCGCACTCGGAGCGGAGCCTTCAGACGTATCAGGATGAGACATCAGGAGAGACGCATAGGCGATGTGGCGAAAGCGGAGGTCGTTCGGCTTCGATAAGTGGAGATGGGGACCCGCCACGCCACGCGCCTTCTCGTCGGAAGCACGAGCCATCCATAGCATGAATGTATGCTACATAGACCAAGGGTATACAACTTTACACTGGTAATAGCAACGTCTAGGGCATAATACTAGTTCTCGCGCCACTGGAAGCCACACTGGGTGCGTGTACATTTGTAAAACGTCGTCACTAAAAGTTAGGTTCGGTGCACGTACTGGGCTCATCTGCAGAACGAATCTGGAGTTGCATAAAGTAGGCACGAGCATTATCGCATTTAGGGCATGTAGCTGGCATATGAGTATGGGAGGCGTACCATCTGTGCTGTCCACGTTTTTCCAGCTGTCTTCTCCACCCATGACATCGTCCACTTGCTTGCGTTGCAGGTACATGCGAGAGGTTACCTGAAAGTCCATAGGGAATTCAAAAGGGCACGTTGGGCATGTCCATTTGTTTTGAGCAGTGGTGTCGCATGGGAGAACTGTCACCACATTTGCACAATTGGGACAAAATAGCATTGCATGCGAATAGACCAAGAGAAAAAAAGTCAGGTCGCGTGATAAAAGAGTAAAGTAAAAGGCCACTATATATGACCAATACTTTAGTGTTCTGCAACGTGCTCTCATAGCTCAGCTGGAAGAGCGCAAGACTGAAGCCTGCCGCTTCATAAGTGGATGAACAAAGTCCTTCTTGAGGCCACCTGTTCGAACCAGGTTGGGAGCATTTTTTATTTTCAGACCCTGCGTTTCTCCGCTCCACAGATAGCGGCTTACTGCCATCGGCTAAAACCGTGTAAATCGCCGACCCCTCTCGCTAAACAACCAATCCAATGAAAATGTTTTCCATTGTACCTCGATCCATGATTGGTTCTTAGGCGTTCTCAGTTCGAAAATGACATACGCCGAAGAAGGGAGCCGTGAGACAAATGGCTTGATTGGCGGAAAGAATTTGAGGGATCTGTGTACGAAAACAGCTGAATCTGGTAAAAGGCGGTCGGATCTCAATTGAACCGTACCCATCGCTCATCACCATGAAGAGCTTCCTCAAGATCTCGGCCTTGGTCGCGCTGGCCCTGGCTACCGCCTCTGCCTCGCCTGTGGGTCAGGACATGTCTCCTGTGCAGCAGGCTGACTTGTTCACCCGTGCTGACAAGGACACGGTGGGCAACGGCTGCGAGAAGCTGGATGACTACTCTCCCAAGGACTCCTTGGATGTCTTCCCCTTCTTCGACGATGAGCGTGCTGAACTGATGCGCTACCGTTTCCACATTGGTGTGAACTTGGGCTCTTGGTTCGTCGCTGAGAAGTGGATGTCCCCCTCGCTGTTCAAGTGCGCCCGCAAAGGTGAGAAGGGTGAACTGGCCATTCCTCGCGGCTACGGAACGTCCTCGGATGGTATTAAGAGCGCCCGTGCTCGTCTCGAAAAGCACTGGGACACCTGGATCACGAAGGACGACTTTGCCGAGATGAAGAAGGCTGGTGTGAATGCCGTCCGTATCCCCATTGGTTACTGGAACCTCCCCGAAGCCAAGTTCTTGAAGGACACGCCATTCGAGAACTATACGGAAGTGTACAAGAACAGCTGGAAGTATGTCCGCCGTGCGATCAAGTATGCCAACGACAACGACATTGGTGTCATGCTTGACCTACACGGTGCTTACGGCTCGCAGAACGGCGAAGAGAAGAGCGGCTTTAACAAGTTTAACGTCGACTTCTACGAGGGTGACAACCGTAACCGCACTACGGAGGCCCTGTCGTGGATTGTTCGTGACCTGCAGACTATGTCGAACATGATTGGTATTGAGCTGCTTAACGAGGCCAAGAACAACGGCAAGAAGGACGTCAAGCTTCTGCTCACCTGGTACAAGAATGCTCTGGACACGATTCGCGCCATCGGTGGTACCACCACTGACTTCCCTCTTATCATCAGTGACTCGTTCAGCCCGAACCAGGCGGCGGACCTGATCCATGACCGCAGTGACTTTACGGTGTCGGACACGCACCGCTACTTTGCCTTTACCAACGATGACCAGTCGGCCAAGGAGATTACCAACAATGTGGAGACTTCTGTGAAGAAGTCGATGAGGGAAATTGCCGACAAGGTCGGCGACCGTTACATCATCGGCGAATGGTCCTGTGCTCTGGACCCTAGCTCCACCAGCAGCGACAGCAGCAAGAAGATGCAGGAGCTCTCGGACTTCTGCACCGCCCAGATTAGCACCTACCGCAATGTGACTGCCGGTATGTTCTTCTGGTCCTACCGCTTCGAGAACTGCGACGACAACATGGGCTGGTGCTTCAAGGCAGCTCGTGGAGACTTCTTTGACAAGTACAACGCTTGGGGCTTCAACAACAACAACACTGACAAGGTGGTCGAACGTGTGAAGGAAGAGAATCTCGACCTGAAGCACAAGATCGCTCTGCATGCCTTGTTCCCCAATCCCAACGATTTGGGTTACGCGCAGGGCTTCCAGTGGGCCAAGAAGCTAGCCGTCAAGCTGCCCGTCTCGCGTCTCGGCTTCAAGGAGGAATACGTTGACCGCCGTATCAAGAAGAATGAAGACAAGCTCTGGAAGAAGGAGGACAAGGAGAAGTTCCGTGAGGGTTTCCTGGAGGGTGTGTCGTACATTGAATGCATTGCTCTGTCTTTTAAGAACGACAAGTCCAAGTCCATTTGCAAGAAGCAAGCGAGCTCCTCCAACAAGACGGTCGCTTCTAGCTCTACTTCCAGCTCGAGCAAGTCCTCGTCGTCTTCGAGTTCCAGCTCGAGCAAGTCCTCGTCGACCTCTAGCTCCAGCTCCGGCAAGTCCTCGTCGTCTTCGAGCTCGAGCTCCTCCGAGCCGACCTCGTCTTCCAGCTCGAGCTCCTCCAAGTCCAGCGCGAGCAAGAGGAGCACCGTGGTGACCACGACTGTGAGCGGCAAAACGGTGACGGCCACTGCCACCGGTACCGCTGGTGGTCAGATGTGCGGCAATGACAACATCTTTGGCATCGGCATCTGCATCAGTGGCTCGGGTAACGGCAACAACATCAACGCCTAACTGCATCTCTAGGTATCTCTCCCACTCATTCCATAGCGAGCCATAGCAACATTACTTGCGAACCTTGCTAGCCGTATGGCTTATGTGATGGCTTAGTCATAGATGGAAACGTGCGACTATGCAAGTATGCCAAGTATGGTACAAGATCCGTGGTATATCATCTTAATAACCGTTAATTCGATTTAATAGTAGTATCCAATGCGCCAGTCGGGCCAATATTGTCCGAGACGCGGGCAACTCTTAGAAAATTAGGAACCACGACTCGTTATGTGAAGTCTGATTGGCAACACTAGCCTTGCCTTCTTTTGGAAAGTACTATTGATGCAGCTCTTCATAGGCGTATACACGCGTCTTGGCTGTTTGGTCAGGGCGTGGTAAGATCTACGGTTGCGCAGCAAACAGTGGCCGATAACCGATATAATAGCTTGCTTGGCGTTGTTGTGATCGTTACCACCCCACCGTGACATGCAGTTTGCTAAACTGACGGCGATCCTCGCCCTTCTTGTGGCAGGTGTTTCGGCTACGCCGCTTCCTTTCGGCAACGAGCTGGTGGAGCGCAACAATGGCGGGTCGTGCCCCCCTCCTCAAACGGTGACGGTGACGGTGACGGCGACTCCTTCGCCGAGCCCGAAGCACTCCTCGAGCTCGCACCGCGCCGAGACGAGCTCGAGCTCGAGCTCGAGCTGCGACGAGAAGACCAAAACGTCTGAGACTCATAAGGCGACTTCGACCTCCAAGTCTTCGTCTTCTGCCAAGGCGACTTCAACCACCTCCAAGACTTCGTCTTCTCACAAGCCGACCTCGACCGCGACTATGACCAAGCACCGGTCCGCGACCAAAACCAAGTCGGGCTCGGGGAAGCCCACGAGCGTGGTTACCACTACGGTGAGGGGCAAGCCGGTCACTGTGACGGCGACTGTAACGGAGAACGGTCAGACTTGCGGTAACGACGACTTCTTCGGCATTGTCATTTGCATTGACAACTCGGGCAACAACAACAGCGCCCAAATGAACTAATTTGTTGATCCACTAGCAGTTAGGGCTAGATAGGTACCTCATGTTAATTGTTTCTTGGCAAACACGCCAACATAGTATTGCATAAGTAGCGCGTGCACTTGTCAGAGACATCAGTTCATGGCGAGACTATGGACGGAGGGTATGATTAAAAGTCCTCTTCGAGACTAAAGGTGTGGGCGCTGGGGTTCTGCACCGTCTCCTCATCCTTGGCGACACCGGCCTTGGCATAGTCGGCGACGCGGCGCTCGAAAAAGTTCGACTTGCCCTGCAGCGAAATGTTCTCCATAAAGTCAAAGGGATTCGTCGAGTTGTAGTGCTTAGGGTTGCCGAGGTTGACGAGCAGACGGTCGGCCACAAACTCAATGTACTGGCACATCAGGCGGGCGTTCATGCCAATCAGCGAGACGGGCAGAGCGTCGGTCAAAAAGTCCTGCTCAATGGCCACAGCCTCCGTAATGATGCGGTTCACTGTGTCGGGGTGGGCGCGCTTCTTCAGGTGGCTAAAGAGGAGGCAGGCAAAGTCGGTGTGCAGACCTTCGTCACGCGAAATGAGCTCGTTCGAGAACGACAGGCCGGGCATGAGGCCCCGCTTCTTGAGCCAGAAGATCGACGCAAACGAACCCGAGAAAAAGATACCCTCCACGGCTGCAAAAGCCACAAGGCGCTCCGAGAACGAGGCACGCTTGTCCGAGATCCAGCGCAGGGCCCAGTCGGCCTTTTGCTTGACGACGGGGATCGTCTCGATCGCATTAAAGAGATACTCGCGCTGCTCCGGCTCACGGATGTAGGTGTCGATCAGGAGCGAGTACGTTTCCGAGTGAATGTTCTCCATCATAATCTGAAAGCCGTAAAAGCAGCGGGCCTCGGCCGCCTGCACCTCGGCGCTAAAGCGCTCGACCAGGTTCTCATTGACGATGCCATCCGAGGCGGCAAAGAACGCCAGGACGTGGCTCACAAAGTGGCGCTCATTGTCGTTCATGCGGTGGTCCCAGTCGTGCAGGTCTTTCGACAGGTCCATCTCTTCAGCGGTCCAGAACGAGGCCTCCGCCTTCTTGTACATCTGCCAGATCTCGTGGTAGCGAATAGGGAAAAGGACAAAGCGCGACTTGTTCTCCTTCAGGAGCGGCTCTTCCTCCTCAGGAAGATCCACTTCGCCGACAAACTTGCCGTACAGGTAGTCGTCCGCAGCGGGAGTAGCGGTCTCCTTGGGCTTGAGGGCCATCTTGGCCTTGGTAGGCGACGCACTTACGTCAATCTTGGCGAGATCGGCCGCCACTTGCTTCGAGGGAGTTGCAGAGACAGACATCAAGGGTAGATGGGACGTGGGAGCCAGAAGTGTGGCGAGGTTTATATGTGGCAAATCCGTCGGTGGCTCGGTGGATCGATGAATTGATCGCACGAGGGACGCGACGCGCCTGGTATTTTATTTGCAATACCCCCATCGTTCCTGCCCGGTCGCAGCGCACGTAGCCAACCGCAGCCCGCAAACGCCCCATTCCACCATCTACGCGTGACGCGCTAACGCGCGGCAGTCGATATAAGCCCTGGCCACGCGTGCCGTCCACCTGCATACGTGCGCCAACGGGGCCTTGGCCTGCGTTCCAGGCCTCGCATGAATCGAGGGACGTGGGTGTCCTACGCACAACGTGTCCCTAGAATAGCGTAT